AATGAGTTGTGGATGATGTCTGGAGAGCAGCACTTGATAGCTCATTTCTTATCACGTTGAGCCCTTTCATGTCCTCTGAAAGGTTCGCGCTGAAGACTTTGAGAAGATACGTCTCAGTTGTTCGAGCTTTCAAGATACGCTCTAATTTTAAGCATAATCAACCCAACGACTTCAAATCCAGTAGAGTATTAGAAGAAAAGGTCTTTCTATCACCACAAAAGCAGGAAAAATCCCCCCCCTGGCTCTAAAACCGACTACCGGAGTGAAGCCTGATGTGCAGCTGTATCGTTTTCGCAGCCAACAAGCTCCATTCTCGGTTTGGATTTGCTCACTTACCAGCGCATGGTAGGGTAGGACAACGAGCGCAGCTTGTTTCCTTAAAAAAATGTAACGCCGTGCTGTTTCACTGTTGAAAATAAATTCAAATCTAGTGAAACATTCTGTCAGACTAATAAAAAGCATATCTTTGACATTTTTTTATCTTTTTCCAAACTCTTTAAACGTTTAAGCAGACAGCTCATCAATGACATATTGCATAAATGCTTTGCTGTTAGAAGTAATTTTTTGTGATGAATCTTTAAAGTGCCAGAATATCTAATAAGTTAGATTTTGATTTTCTTTATATGACAAATGCTTAATAGTTGTCCTAGAGTCTTTCTGCACTATGATTTTTATCTGTATTTTATTATGGTAATAATAACATCTAATATACTCTCTCATATCTGTCTTGTTCTTTCTTAAGGTCAAAATTATAAGCAGAGCTAAAGGCAGCAAGAGACTTCTTCCTTTCTTACTCTTGGTATTTTAAGGCAATAAATTATCATATACAGGCAAATAATAGCAAATTAGGAAATTTAAACGTGATATATATATACTCTAATATATGCTTGGTAATCAGAAAGCCAAGTATCGGTATGTCATTACAACAACTAATTTTCAGTCTCACAAGTAAATTAGATGCCATTACATCAGGCTATTTAATTGCCTCTCTTGCCAATAATCTGTGAAGAAGAAAAAAAAATGTTAATTCCTCCTCCTGTCTTCAGGCAGATTTCACTCGTTCGTATTTTATTGGATTTGTTCTTTTCATTTTCACCTAGCGGTAACCTCAGCTGCCTCCTTCAAAGGCTCAGATGATTTTTAGGGAGCAGAGGAGCAGCAGGCAACATGCAATCATGTGCATGGTCCTTCCCAAGGTGCCCTTCCAGGGGTGGGGATGGGGATGCAGCACAGGCTCCTGACCCCAGGGCTCAGGACGGGCTGAGGTGCTAAAAATAGCGACTGCTGTGCTGGAAGATGGCTCTCACAGCCCAAAGACAGGGACTCATTAGTGGAAACTTATCTCCAAAGCCTCTGAAGGTAGATGGAAGTTAGAGCAAAGTAGGGTAAAAAGATCCCTGTGGATTCAGGGATGCTGCATGTCTTTTAAACGCATTTTAATGTGGTTTACCAAAGGATGCATCTCAAAAAAGAAGAAAATACATGATATTACTAGCTCAAAATTGAATAAACTATAGCAGCTGCACTTTGAAAGCGCAGGTGTAGAGGATGCCTCTCACGCAGCCTCATCACGGAACGAGCATCTCACCCATTTGTTCGGCAGTAGCTGGAGTGATGGACAATGCAGCCGAAAAACAGCTCGGAAACCTGGGAGTTGGCTTGGCTGTGAAATCCACAGGCCTCCCTGGAGGTTTGAGAATGAACACGGGCGTTAGGACGCTTGGTCCCATGCTGAAGGTGACGCTGGAGGTCACGCTGACCAAGCAGCAGAGCTCACGCCTTTCTCCCAGCCCCAGGACGCTGCACTGGCTGCAGAGACCCACCCTTCTCTGCCCCAACGCCTCCAAAACGCTTCCCAAATCCATCAGTCTTCTCACTGCTTACGCGAGATGGCTTGATGAAGACAGCTTCTTATTTTTCAGATGGAGAAATGGAGTAGAAACAAAGTGACTTATCCAAGGTCACAAGCTGAATTACTATCAAAGGCCAAGACTGGTCAAGGCTTTCCCAGCTTCTCAACTTGCTCCTCCATCTCTAGACAAAGTACTACTCTTCCCACCCTCTATCCTTTCTCTTTCTCTTAGATTAGCCAAGAAAAAAAGTAAAGAAAGTCAACAAAATACCTTTTTACAGACTAATGACTCCCTGTTTATCCAGAAAGGAATATACTTCGTTGCAGCACATTAATTATGCCACAGGCTAACAGTCACATAGTCGATCCTGTTGTCCTCTTTGCACTGAAAAAAGGTGTCTTACGTTACATTTCCAGTGTCTGGAAATTAATAAAAAATAAGGTACTCAGCAATGACACCCTTAGATCCTTGTTTTCTGACAGAGATCACCAAGGCTACTCTCTGCTCTTTCCAAAATAAACCCACCTTTAAAGTTCAGAGAAGAGTTTAGCATCTCATGTCGAAGGCAGTGTGAGCGCCATGAGTTTTCAGTGGGTGGTGATGGCGAGATCAGACCGCTGGTGACAGAACCACTTCTGTAAGGCAGCCGGATAATCCACATTTTCCAGGCTTGCCCGGTGTGATTTAGGTGAGTGCAAGACTTATGGCTTTTGGTGGCCTCCTCGTACCATCTTTTTTGTATCTGCAGAGCCCTCAAGGTGGAGTGGCTTGTCAGGGAATGACTAAATCATAAATATCAGGCTTTTTCCTGTAGCCAACAAGCTGTTTTTCTTGCAGCCTATACTTTCAAAAAAAAGGGGATGAAGGTCTGTGTGAGCAGGATACCAGCTCTCCATCCCTCCTGAACATACCCTGCTCAAAGGCAGCTGCCAAAACACTAAACAAGATTGTCACATACCTGCACAATAAATGAAAAAGTCTGATTTTTGAAGCTACACGTACAGCTCTGTTGGCTTACAGACAGCCTTGTTTATTGTAGGTTACCAAGGCAGAAATGTATTTGATTATGCAGAAAAAAAGTTAACAGAAATGGCTGTGAAAACCCAGGACAAAGATAAATCTGGACTTGTTTCATTTTTTTTTTTTTTTTCTTTCCTGGAAAATAAGTTGGGTGGTGATTACGAGCTGCAAGGAGCAGGACAGAGCCACGCCAGGTAGCTGCACTGCGGCAAAACACCTGCACCTCCCTGAATACAGATGTGCCCAGATGCAGAACACACACATTATGCCTGCACAAGGGCATCATGAAATCCCCATTACTTTTTTTTTTCCTGAAGTACTGAAAAGGTAAAACCACCGCCGATGGAGCCTGCGCTCCGGACCCGTGTTTCGGGTTGGTACCTCTCAGCCGCACTCGCCCCCACGCTCCGCAGCCCCAGGCCAGGAGTCATTCCCACCCCTTCAGTTTTACACGGCATTAAAACACTTCTTGAGCAGTTCTGGACAGAGCTGGATAGTGTTTGGGTTGGAAAACCGCGTTTGAGGTGCACCTGCCGTGGCTGAAATCACAGCAGCCGAGAATGAAACGGGGCGGATGGCCTCCTGCAGTGACAGTCCTGCGTGCCACCGCGCCGGCCGGCCTGGGCTTCCTCCCACCCAGACATTACGTGAGACGGAGGGCATGAGAATAATAATTATCTAACGTTTTCCTTGCATTTTTAAAAGTTTCTAGGGCCCACTTGACTAAGGGCTGCAAGAGCCGAGCAACCGAGAGACCAACAGTACCCAAAGGGAGTCGTAAGTGTTTGAGCCGCTTTAAAAAACACGATGCTTTAAACATTTCGGCGTGGCCAAACGCAGACGGGAGCGTGTTTGATCTCCTCGAACGAGCCAGAAATGACCCAGCCGCAGTCCAGAAACCCAGGATCGCAGCAGCGCAGCTCCGTGCTCCAGCCACTGTTCTCCACGGGCTGAGGGGTGCAACACTCAGGGGTGGGCATCATAGAGGCGACGGTGCCAATCAGCCTTATTCTAGGTTTAATAATGACCTCCTGGGTGATGATATTTAACAGGCAACTATTAGAAAGCATCCATACACTGATTTATTATTATCTTAGCTCTGAATTCAAAATGCATTGCGTGGACACTGCAACATTCTCAAGCCAACGCCACAGCTTGTTACACCACATTTGGAGGAAACAGCCACAAGGTAAAATTCACATGTATGGAACTCAGCAGATGACCTTTCCTACCCGCCACATTTACATATTTTCAGACCAAATGACCTTTCTATTTTTGGTTGTTTTTTTTTTTTTACATGAAATCAAAAAAACCCCAAACCACCCCGTCGTTAATTACTGCGCCACAACTGTAGCGAACGAGCAGAAACCGCATTTGGCGCATTTCATCCGATGTGTGTTGCCTACGTAAGGCAATTAATTGAGGCAAAGGGAGCTGCACTCATACCCTGCCTGAGAGTGATTTCCCAGGACTCTTCTGGAAACGAGATGACACATCTCAAGAGATTATTTCCTGCTCAAGTCATTTTAAATAAGTATATTAAAAAGAAGCTACAAGTTACAAGTAGGGCCTGATTCTGTCTTTCAGCGGGGGCCCTTCATATCTTTGGGAATCTGAAATGAAACGTACTTTAAAACTGTATGAAAATTGCCAGAGCAGTTGTCTTGAGGTAAATGTGATTTGGGACAGGAAAGTACAGGCACGCCTTGCCTTGCCTTGCCGGTGGGTTTGCCGCTACGGCAGAGAGGGGGGATGTCAGGAATAAAACCGTCAGCCCTCCCGACAGGCTGCGTGCACACGTCTATCAAAGCCCGGGACTATTTTTGTCTTAATCAAGAGCAAGCTGATTAAATCTGTAGCTTTACAAAGAAGGGGAATTAACCAAATGAAAACATTCATTTCCATACAAAACTTTGTGATACTGTAACTTCGGAAACAAAGCCCTTTCTGAGCAATCCCATCTGCTCCACTTGGCTTGTGCTCTTGGAAATCAACAGCTGTTTACATGCTGAAGACACGGGTACATTCGTCTCTGTTGGGTTTATCATAGAAAAGCGTTAAAATGATTTTAAGCGCAAAGTTAAACATCAGATGCTAAAACCGGGACTGGGGGTTTTGAACATTTGTCTATGACTTTGCTCTTCGAAAGGAAGTTTTTTTAATTCCTGATCCGACGCCATTGCGAAAGGACCTCTTGTGGAAAGGCATCTCCAGGTAAGGCTTTAAAAAAGCCAGTTCTTCCTTCCTGCCCGCCTTGGCTAAGCAGTCAGTCAGCAGGACGAGGCAGTAATCAGATTTTCCATACAGCTGGCAATTTGAATTAAAAGGATTGCTGCTCTGGAGAGTACAAAAAAAAAAGAGAAAAAAAGAGAGAGATAAGAAAAGGTAAAATTATGGATTTGTGTATTTGCCAGGACTTTCCATTGTAAAAGCAAAGCAGAAACACAAAACCAGTTTATTCTTGGAACGACAAGGATGAACTGCTGTTTGCTAGGGATTCATCATATTCAAAATCAGTTTCATAGCTCTCTAGAAAACTTGACTATGGTATTTCTGATATAAAACACTGATACTGTTACAATTATTTTTACGGCATGAAATGAATTGTTTTCTGTGATGTTGACCAGTTGTGACACATACCAGTTTCCCTAGAGTAGCATGCATGTTTATTGCCATAAAATGAGATTATTTTTCCGGTTAACAATGAAACAGCATCTTGTTATCACTTGTGTGAAGTCACGTAGTTTAAATGAGAGCTAAGAGAAAATGAAAATACTGCAAAGCAGAAATTCGGGGGAGGACGCTTTGTAGTAGTTATGCCTAGTTACAGGTAATAGTTATGACTAACTTTAGTAGTAGTAATGGGAATTTTAAAAAGTCTGGATTAAAACCCATATAGGTTTATGGACACGTCCGTTTTCCTTGCCCTTTACAGTATGAAAATATAAACTACATAAAAAAGTATTAGACATTCAAATTGCATTTAAATTAACACTGAATTTAAAAGGAAACATTTCCTGGCATGCCCATAGTTGTTCTGTGCAGCTTACATCACGATTTACCAGCTGGTTGCTTATCTCTCTGAAGGAAACGCTCTGCCGTCGCTCCTCACGCTGCCTGAGTCGCATCCGTGCTCGGGCGAGGGCTTAGCTTCCCTAAGACCAGGTTTAATTCAGTGTGCCACTACTTTTATTAATACTGTTTAGTGCTTAACCTTTTTCCTGTTCTGTGCATATAAAAGGTAGATTCAGGAGTCTTGCTGCAAGCCGGAGACGAGGCAGCTGCGCAGGCAGCCCCCAACCACACAGCCGCCTTTTGCCACGGGCGGTGGGGTTTTCCCCAGATGGAAGCTCCTCCCTAACAAGAAGAAATACTTTCTGCAGGAAACACGGACACAGAGACATTCCCCATTGAATTTTTAGCTGCTCTCTCACAACCTATATGGGGACCTATAGTGCTGAATAAATGACGTTATTTTGACATGCAAGATATTCATCGAAATAATTAAACCCACTTTACTTATTATATCATTGCCATAGAAATGTGGATAGTCAGATCAAGCTGTGTCTAAGCTACCCGTGATCAGAAAAGAAAGATGATTCAGCATTTACAGACATAAAACATACAGAGGAACCGGGCGCTGGAGAGATTAAGGCTAACGGGAACGTCACACCGATAAAATAAACGGCTGGACGAGTAGCCCCCATTTCTGCTAGTGACTGATCACCTCAATGAAAAGATAACGATGCAAAACACATCAGAGGAAACAAAGAAATCTGAACCCTGGCTCCTAGAGCTGATTGTACAGCAATGAAGAAACAGGGAGGCCACAGAAGACTTTGTCTGAACAGGGAAACTGAACGTCATTAGAAATAAAATATCTCATTCCACATTGGCAAAGTCTGAAATGGTGTAGGCAGAGTTTGACCCGCAGTCCATCATGGTAACCTGGTCGAGATCAGCCACGGAAAGGGCATCGGCGTTATTTCAGTAACCTGTTCCCTCTTATGGACCGTTCTACTTTCTTCCATAGTTCAATCAAACTTCTATTACTAATACTACGCAGTAATTTTCCGTAACTTTATACAACAACTTCTCCTTTACCTACACACCAACAGTGGCAAATAAATTTATTGGTTTATAGTCTAGCTAGCAATAAGTGAAATTAATGTATCTTACTGTACCTATTTGATACAGGCAAGGAATTTAGATGAAATGGAGAGTAGATTGATGTTTCTCTCTTTTCCATACAATATTTCAGCTCCCCACACTCTACATTAAATATGCAACAGATTTCTCACATGATTAATTTAGAGGCTTGCATATTTTATTAGTAACTAAAGCAAAAATTGAGCTATACTCCAGGAAAATTAGGTAATAATATTTAATCAATAGCTTTAATACAAGAAACTTCTTCCATTTTATAAAAAAACAACAACGACAAATCAAGCAAACAAACAAAAAATAATGTAAATAAAATAGCTATTTAAAAGAAATGAAGCACTTCACCTTCAAGCGAGTATGGAGCACAACTTACCATGGAAGGGGCAACTGGGTATCCCGAGCACACGAGTATCATCGAGATCCAGAGAAGGAAAACCAAGTTTAACCTGCATAGACTTCAAAGGAAAACTGAGATCAGTTAAAATTTAAAACAAAGTCAAGCAAAACTGCATGCATAGACATAAACACTCAAACAGTGTATCAAACTCATCTGCGGTGGTTTTACCTGATCATTCTTTTCTCAGGAGTGTGTATGCGTGTACATGCAGTTATACTACCAAACTCCTCACATATCCTTTCACTTCTTTCTTAGTGATCATTTTATACCAGAGTTCAGGAATGAAAATGTCATCAAGGCTGATTTTATTGTGACTAATTGGTCCTTGTTTGGCCTTTTCTTCTTGTTAAATGGGAAAATGGCAAGAATACACGTTCAGCTGCCATTATGAAACTACCAATTGATTTTCATTTAAAGAGTTCCACTAAAATGTCTCTCAAGTGGGTTTACTGTTAAGTCTGTATCATCGTAGCAAATACGGTCAAAGGTCTAAAGATTTCAAAAATACATTTCAAGAATTTTTTACCACTTCAAATATATCATATTCAGACCTTGTAAAGCCTGGCTGCAAGGGAAAAACAGTACAAGTGCACTTGAAGTAGAAAGTTCCTCAAAGAGTCTGATTATACCCAGAGCAGCCACAATATGTAGAACAATACATAACAATAGATACAGCTTTTGCTTTTTCTTCCCCCTTTCTTTTTTTATATGCTTAGTTTTTCATGCGCCAAATTTTTAAGTGTTTTTCTTAGAACTTACGAGTCTTTGGATATTAGTATCTTCTCTTGCATGCAGACATATCTTCGCCTACGTTAAGTTTATTCAATTGAATCTTAAGTAGGATTAATAAATTCTGTTGGTCGCCGTCAACGCAGCAAATGTTTAATGTCTAAGAGCATCATTTGTTACTGCAACAAATTTAATTGCGCAACATTTAATTGTGGGATCCTGTGGTTTATTTATACAGAGCACTGTAAAAGCAGTAACAGCCCCACAAATTCTGTGAATGCTAGACTGCATAGGTGAGGGAATGCTGAAAAACATGAAATTAATTTTTTTTTTTTCTTAGAATGAACGCTAGGGATCTTTTTTTGACCATCACCCAGTGTTAGACACGTACGCCAGTGACAGAGCAGCCTCAAACGTTGTATTTCCTTCAGGGTTTGCACTGAAAAATCAGGACTCCAGAAGGGAACTAGGTGTCAGTCTTCAGGGAGACCTAAACTGTTATAAATTACGGCATCTTTAACTGGAACATTCAGTCTCCTGATGTAGATACATGTTATTCTACGAGGTGGAAAGCAGCGAGGCCTTCAGGTCAGGCCAGAAGAAATACAGTAGCATGGAAGAGCCTTTAATACTTCTTATAGAAAAATTCACAATTTGATCTCAGGTTGTGGTTGAGTATTTTTTCATCATCATTGTACATGTTGGTGCTGATCACGCCAGGGGTTGATATAATCCAAGGCCTCCTAAATTACTTTTAAAAAGTGTGTGTTTGTAGCTGCTGGCAAAGTACTTCAGGATTCTTCAGGACCAACAGGACTATAGAAATGTAAGATGAAATTAGCCTCATTTAAACACCGCAGTAAGCAATCCATTTATAAAAACCGTCAAGAGAACATTTGACTATTTGCATATTCAGTATGTGTCCTCTTATTCAGAGAGAAAATCCTTTCGTTTGAATTGAACATCCCGTTCCGACTCGTACAGGACCTCCAACTCCAACCGATAAGCGGATTAGCCCGTGTTTCTGCTGCAATGAAAAGCACTTCGGGTTGGATTCTGCTTGAGCACAGTTTCGCGTCAGCTTTCATTGTATCTGCATTTAGTTTAACTCCATTTTAATACAAAATTAACCTTCACACAACGTTATTTGTGGAAGACGAGGGACAAGAACAGGGTTGTGATTAAAGTTCAGGATTTCTAGGTTCAATGGTGGAGTTTGGGCCTTGGATTCTCCGCGCAACCTTCGGTGCGTTATTGACTTGGTGTTTTTTAAATCGTGAATTGTTTGAGCCCCTGGTGACCTCCCATTGTGCCTGGTCAGTACCTCCTGTGCTTACCTTTATCACATCCCCCTGAAAGAGTGGATTTGGCCACATTTCTAGCTCACTAGCTTTGGACATGAGAGGTGCCCAGACACTCTCCGTAGGCACCTTCAGCGTGAGCAGGTGGTGAGAGGACAACCATGGGAGGCCATCAAGCAGCTCCTAGGGGACCCCAAGGAGATGGTCCTGTGGGCCCGGACAGGATGAAGCTTTGTAGAGCCTGGAGCAAAGCAGTCGGTTGCAGAAACTTCGAACAACATGGGAAGACAGCTCTGGTGTGACTTTCTAAGGAAGGACAAAAAGGTCATCAACTACACTCACATTAAGGATGTTTCACGCAGCGGGTGGGAAAGGGGAAGAGGCTCATATGGCAGCAAATCTCCCAAGCACTTCGCAAAGCCAATGACATCTGAACGCTACAAAGAAAATAACAGTTTTGCATGAGGGTTTGCATGCATTTCATTCGTGCTCGTATTATAAATGCTCACAGTAAGATCTTTCTTAGCAAAATTCTTTAGCCTCCTTTCTGTTTCCAGATCTTCTTAAAAGTCACCTGTGACAGACTGCGGTCCTTAGGACCCGACTCTAAGAGGAGACAGGCAAGTAATACTTGGGTTTTCCCCTCACAAAACCCAAAAGCAGATTCCACCTTTGCGAAGGCGTTGACCAGCTGAGCAACCACCAGCTGCCTTCGCACCAGGCAGATGCAGAGGGCAGCTGGGCGAGCATGAGTTATTGAGACATCACCAACCCAGAACTGGGCTCAAGGGGTTTGTCCACCTCAGAGGCACACAGAAGGGGTATTATTGCAACTCGGTGAGGATTCAAGCTGTCACGTTTCTTCTCGCTTCTTTTGAGTTAATTTTTTGTAGCTATTCAGGATGCAATTTAACACACCCCAATTGTGATCTGCATGCATAACGTGTGTGTGGAGATTTAGATACACTCAAGATATTCCCACTTCAGGTTTGGATGAATCAGGTTTCACAGAACAAGTGGCAATTGACATTTCTGTCGCCTTCTCTGTCTGCAGAGCACCCAGTCTGAGGCTTTGCTCTCAGGTAAGGTTCACTGGCAGGTATCATAGGTCATATGAATCATTAAGAACCATAATAAAATTTCCCAGCATCCATAAAATTTGCATTTTACGAGAATAAATTAGCAGCAATATCTTCCACTTCCCTGCAAAGCCAACAACAGCATCCCTTCCCACCTGCTTGCTGTGCTAAAGGAACATTGTATTGCACCTCGCTGCTGCTCTTCTTTGGTTTCCCCATGAAAAACATACGAGACGCAACACAAAGCTTACTGATAAGACTATCAAGCGTTGAAACTTAATAAGGTTAATAGGCCTATAAGCTTTAGAACGTAATATTTCCCTGCTCCATCACGGCAGTAAGTCTAAAGTGTTTAAAATGGCATTGTGCACCTTTGCTAAGGGAGCAAAACGATAAAATGGAAAGAATACACCAAAACCCGCCTGCCTGGTCCATTGGTATAACCCCAACCATTGTAAAACCATAGCAGGTCAGTGGTCTGGATAAAGGCAAGGTGCTAAATCTTGTTGTTCCCCTCTAGGATGCTCAAAGCGAAACCTCAGCATGGCTTTTTTTTTTTTTTTTTGGAGAAGGCTGCCTGGATATTTTGCTCCCAGCTCAATTTTTTTCTTGCTTTCAAGAACATCAAGAAACCAAAGAGCCAGGATGTTTGCTTTGACATCATAGCAAGGTGCAAAATGGAAATTAGTCATACTCACAGCCTATAAATCTGTTTCTCACTCGGTGATAATAGAAAATCCCAGCAAGACTCAAAGACAGAAGAAAAACAGAAGTCAGAAAGCAGGTTTATTCCTTCGGTCGTTATTGCTGTGTTCTCGCTACCAGCAAGGGGACACAACCAAACCCTTCGCTTGCACCACTGCGATCTCACCTACAGAGGCCCAAAGGAGCTAAGAAGTTCCTGCAAACACACATGAGACTATTTCTATACATTTCCCCTCTCCCTAAATTGCTTCTACTCCCCTCAAACCTGGTTAAGATCCGTCAAGCACACGCCTCTGGCTGACAGGGCTAAGGGGCTCTAAGGCCAAACGGCGCCGCTGGGGGCAAAGCCCAGCTCCTGCCTCCCCTCCTGCCCTCGGATATTTGACCGGGCAGCGACTGATCGTTTCCAACCGCTCCACGAGCACCCGGCCCTCGTGCCTGCGGGCTGCAGCCTGTCCCCTGCGCCCGTTACTTTGCTCCTGTGCCGCCGAGGTGTGGGCACAGAAGAAAGGCTCTCTGTGGAGGACACGACCCTCTCGCCAAAGCTCGGGTGCCTATTTTCCCGAGCCCACCGAGGCCCACGTTGGCTGCTGCGTCCCTGTTTCAGCTCCAGAACTTCTCCAGCAGAGACACACGGACTGAATTCCGTTTTGCCGGCTAGCGCTGCCGCCCGCAGAGCCGAGTCCTGCCCACGACGCGCTGCTCGAGCTCCTTGCAGACGGGGAGGGCTCCTGCCCAGCTGTGGCGTCGCAGGCCTCGCTGAAAAAGATGCACCTTTTTAAAACCAGATTTTCAATGCTGTTCCACTCAGGCATCATTCCCCTCTCGGCCTGCGTTAGCAATGGTGAAGGGTCCAGCCATGCACCTTCTGACGCACGGGTTTGATCTCAGAGGAGAAAAAAGAAATCAAAAAGGCATTAAAGCCAGAAGCAGGACTGCCACTCCTGCCTCCCACTCCTTCATGGCATTTTGGGCGGCTTGCTTTGCCTGGGCAGACACTCAGCAGCTAGGAGGTGTGCAGCAAGCAAGCGGCGTTAGACCACGTAAGGAACAAGGTGTGAGATTTTGGGATATACAGGTAACGTGAACCTCGGGGTCCGGGTTGCCACCCAATTTCAAAGCACTTCTGCATCATCAGAGCTGTGCACGTCACTGTCACAGCAAAGGGGATGAAGCTGCAGTCTGATCCTCCCATGCCAGAACTAGAAATTAGCTTTAAAGTCACGTTTTCGATCCTACCTCCGACAGAACTGTCGGCTGTGTCATAGTCAGCATCCTCAGGATTTTAAAGTTTAAATCATCATCTATAATTATATATATTCTCCTTCCTGGCTACATTCAACATACACAGAGATGATGTGGGTAGAGACAGCATGAGTCCCCTTCCCCGGGTCTGCCAGCCCCACTCCCTGGCACAGGGCAGGGCTGCTGATTGCGTCAAATCGTGCAGTGATGGAAAACCCGAGTCTGCGGTCCCAAACGTCATCATCTCCCACAGACCGCAGCGCACGGCACCTTGCCGGCCCTCTGCCAAGTGCACAAGCACCCACGGGACTTCTGCTGACGCCGCCACGCTCCTGCTGCATTCTACGGGAAACGACAAGAAGAACGCTTTTGGCAAAAACATATTTAAACGTGGCCGAAAATATTTCTGATTTATAGAAAACCTATACTGCCCTCGCAGTTTTGTCAGATTCCTTAGCGTGCCTTCAGAAAAACAATCTGCATGAAGTACAACACCACAAAACCCAAGCTCTCGTTATTCTCTGTGCACCACCACCACATGTTAAAGTCATTTGATAATTGATCTGGAGAGGAAAAAAAAAAAGGCAAAAGAAGACAAAACTTGCTCGACCCATTAAGGGGAGACTCGGCAACTGAAACGTGGTGGTAATTAACGTTTCTGCTATGCTTATTTGTGCATGCCAACGTAATTTATGCATTCAGAAATTTCTCAAATAGATCCTACAGGAAGCTGCTGCCTAAGACACGATGGCAGTGCTGAGCTAAAGAGACACCTGTCAAAGCTGAAACCCAGTTTCTGTTCAGATGTAACAAAGATCTGGATGATCTGAGAAAGTCTGAATAGTTGTTAAAGTAGAAGCAAGGAAGGGAAAAGAGCCTAGATCGACAAGAAACGGCAAAGTTTTTTTGAGGAGAGGGAGGAGAAAAGGATGTAGGAAAGTCTGATGTGACTTAACAAGAAGAGCTCAAACTTTAAAGGGATCAAACTTTAAAGAAGTCAAGGAAAGATAACATAAATGGTATAAATAGTAGGGAACAAGGAGAAAGAGTTGGGTGGCTTTGAAGGGCATAATTTTTTATATATGTTATAGCACTGTATCTCAGGGTTCTCCAGTGGTTAAGGCTAAGAAATACAAGGAAAATGCAATATATATTTGTTATTATGTTAAGATGCTAACAGAATATTCTTGCTCAAGCAAGTTTGCATATTTTTGTCTACAAAATCTTGGTACAAAACTGTTTTTCCTGCTCTCTAAGTCCTTGAGATGTTATACCAACATCTGGGGAAAAGGGTGTGAGGTAGGGCAAAAGTTAGTCACAGTAGCACAACTCACCCAATGAAACTATTACAGTTGGGAGGCAGAAAGTGGGACACAAACCTCCAGACTTGGAGTAACTGCGAGGGACAGAGGATGCTCATCAGGACACTCACCATCTACGGACTGGACAGAAAGGGGTGAGTTGCTCACATCTGAGCAGGTTTTTACACAATCCGGAGCGACCTTCAGGATAGAAAACAGGTCAGCTGGACGCAAAACGTCTGTCAACCGTCTCATTTCCTCTGTAAACCACCCAGGTCCGATCAGCTTGGAGAGAAGCGACAGTACCTCTCGTTTGGCACAGAATTATGAGCAAATATTCAAATCACAACTCAGGGGTGGCTCATTTCCTTCTGAACAGGCAACATTTGCGAGGGAGAAATCTCAGCTGTTCCGCAGATTAGCTCTTGGCATTTCTGGAGAAGGGTAAGATGCCAGTTTAAATTTGTGACATGAGACCTAAAGTACCTTTAGGAAATGAGTGGCTACATCTGGAACAGCAGTCATCGTTTGTAGGAGGTGAGAGGACACACCCTTTTTTCTCTAAAAGGCAGAGCATTTTCCATCTGTTCTTCATGCTCTTTTAACTCACTGCTACTTACTTTCTGCTCGTCTGTGCCACTTAAATAAACAAGGATACTGCAGCCTCATTGAAGGAGCCATCCTCTTCCATAAAAGCCTTTTGATAGGAAGTTTTCCATAACGACCTACCAAACAAAAAACGAAGAGGCCCCGAACCCTAGAGCAAGCCTCACGTTGCGAATATACCTGTGCTTTCCAGTTTGCTGGTAGGAAGGTAAAAACCCAACTACAAGTCTGCTTCGCTCTCCAGGCAGGCGAGATGCAGGGGTGGCACCCAGGCATCGGGTACTGCTCGTACCTTTGGTACTCCACGGCTGACGGCAAGGAGCAAAACGCCAGCCCTGGATCATTTCTTGGTCACTGTCGTCGCTTATAAAGGTCCTCGAGTAGGAGAGAGGCAACGTTGCTGTCATACAACCTGGCGCCCAAGCGGACACACCTTTTGCCTGAACATCGGCTACCCAGGAGCCAAATTTCCCCTCGTGTTCTCTTTCTCTCATAAAAGGCTTCACCCAAAAGAAGAAGTCAAGGCACTTTGCATGCCGAAAGATAGAAGCAGTTGTGGTTTTCTCACCGAAAACCCGTGGCAGATGACTGGATTTTTCTTGCTCTGTGCAAGCATTTCTTCATCCCCAATGATGTTTCAGCACTTGATACACCTCCTCAGGAAGTTTCATCTGCCTCCCTTATTCTTCTGTTACTTGCATTAATACCTCATCTGCAAACCTCATCTCTCTCCCTGTCTCCACCTCGTGAATTCCCCTTTTAGCATCAGGGTCTTCAGGGTTTTTTCCAATCTGTACCCCTCCCCACAGCTGCTAACTTTGGAGGTAATCAACTGCTACTTCTTAATCAAGAGTACAGATTAGCACGAATAAATACAAAATCCAATATTAGAAAAGCTAATATGACCTTACGCCCTGGGGAATAGGAAAGGCCACAAATGCTGAGAATCAGGATTGCTCTCCGTGCACAGGACAGTAGATACTCTCTAGCTACCTACTACAGATGTTGATTGCTCCAGTCTCACAGGAAAAGCGTTGAAGGCACAGCACATGAAAAGGACCAGCTCTCCATTCAGCCTGACACTATATTGACTGCCAGAAGCAAACATGTAGTCCACAAAAAACCCTGTGACTCCTTTTTCCTTCCAAAGAGCCTGCCTGCTGGCAGCTAGTTCTTTCATTTGAGCAGTAAAGGTTCATGCTTTTAAACCCAATTCCCATCACACAAGTACACCCAAAAATATTACATGATGGACTTCAACATTGCACTTTTCAATAAAGACTGAGTGAGTCCCAGCTGCGAGGAGTGAAGTTAGACAGGGTATAACTTTCAAAGGGGCTGAGGGCCTCTCTTCAAAAGCAAGAAGCACTGGCAGCTGAAGGACTTGACTGTGCAGCAGCGAGGAGCACACCTGAATTAACACTTCATGGAAGCACCACGTGCATCACTCACTTGGATCTCGGCACCGAGTAGCCACAGGAGCGTGGTGGGACCCAGGCTGTCTCAGCAGGGTTTATGGGTGTAGGGACCATGCCCTGGGGGTGAGGTGATGCTTCTCCTGGTGCTGCAGTGAGCACCATCTCCGGGATCTCTGTGCAGGGCTCCAGCGCTCGGCGTGGGCCTGCCCTTCATCATTGCTTCAAGAGATCCGAGATGCTCCAGACTAGTACAACAAATTATGGATGAGCAAGAGAGAAAGCGAAGCTCACGCAGTTCCCAGTCTCTTGACTGCAGCAGGAACAACAGGACCACGTTACACAGAAGAGATCCCTTGAAACTCAAATAACCCTACAGCTCTCTGCCTTGCCAAATTTCATAATATCAGCACCATCTAAGCCAACAGGACAGGAGCTAAAAATATTCTGATTCAACTCATTGCAGGCTTGCGATGTAAGGGCAGAGGCTCTTAACATGTGCTCTTTGAAAGTGTTGAAGCTTGTGGCCTTAGGGCATGTCTATACCGCCGGCGTACCAAGCCAGCTTGGATACTGATAACTGCACATCAAAGACGTGACCAAGAGGCGCAACCCAAAGGTTTCCCATTTCCCTGGAACGATTCACAGTTCAGCCCTGCTGCGGTTTCTCGGTGTGCACCTCAGAGTCAACGTGTGAGCGTTCAGTGCCAAATTACACACTCCCTTCTTAAGCCACATCAAATTGCTTTACAATCCCCGTGGTTCACAAGCTGCAAACTGCCTATTGCTGTTCTAAACGTCAGCGATGGGAAACACAGAGCCCGGTAACTTTGAATCTCCCAGGGCTATTTTCTAACCTACAAGCCCTCCCAAAGCCCCGCTGACACATTTGGAGTGGCGTAGCCTCAATAGCGGCTGGGGATGGATTTTGAAGAAGAGCACACCATGTTGACGCAGACTTCGTGTTCTCCACTGTCCTCCTGAGGCCAGTCCCATTCTCTCTAAGGATGAACGCAGTACAAAACCAAAATGTAGTTACTACTTTTCTTTTTTCCTCTGCACGAAGTGATCTTTTGAATCTCACCTTCCTAATTTCAGCCATGTGGCGTTTCTGTCTCTCGTATTGCTAATATTTCTCGTGAGAAAGGGGCAGTTCCTGGTTCACCTGCCCATCTCTGGACCCTGAGCAGTGCATTGCAGTGTGTTCACAGAAGCTATCATCCGTTCTAGCCGGCAGGTTGTGGCCAGGCTATGCATCTTCCCAACCTGAGCAGTCAAATACTCTTCATTCTGGACAATACCAGACCCGTGAATGACCTGAAGTTCAAGAGGAAATACCCAAAACTCATCCATATTTGCTTTTTTAACCCCCGCAAAGCATGGCAAGGCACATTTGCTGATTGCCGGCTCTCTAGCACGAAGAGAAGCTGGCCAGGCAAGCCCTGCACCCTGCTGTGGATGAAGATGTTACAGTTGCCTGGGAAACCGCTCCATGGGATCACTGAAATGTATTCTATATGTTTGCCTTCAGATACAAGATTATCACCTTGTCTATGAGCAGTGTCAGGAGAAAATCCTGACACCGGATAAACTTAGTCTGTAACCTGCAGAAATCAATTAACTCTTCTATGGTATTAGCTGCAATTTCACAGAGCTAAACCCAATACAAAACGGCTCATTGTCCAACATCAACCAAATCTTCCCTGAAAGAGTACAGGTGGGTTACTTTTAGAGCACCTCATTGCTCAGCAAAGGGCACAAGGTTAAAATCCGCTGGCATATTATTAGCAGGTGAAAGAACTGGCTGAGGAGAGACAAAGGATCTCTAATCAAAGGAGACAGGTTTATTCAAGGACTAAGAGCGATTATTTAGATTCAATATTTGCCAATTTGGCTTTTTTTTTTTTTTTTTTTTTCCTTTTCCTATTTTAAGAAAGAAACATTCAACACTTACAGAAGGAGCACTGGTAGCCATCAGGTAGCCACAAATCAGCCAGCCAGACGGTGGGGTATAGCCTCCGTTTGCACTTCCTCACAGCAATGAGCAATTCAGGACTCAGGCCCAACCAAGAAGTTAGAGCTCTGCCACGTCGCTTTGCCAAGGTTTTCCCTGGTACCGCAATCATGACGTTGCACACAAAACCTCACAGATTTTATGGTGAAGATATCCCAGTCAGATGGCAAATGCTAGTCTGGGGGAAAACAGGCTTAATAGCAAGCAGGAAGGAGCAAAGAATTAAGGTTAGATGACATTTTATTACAACATAACAAACCAAGAAGCCAATATAGGACTGTGCTATGTCTAAATATGGTGAGGGTATGAGACCAGTTTTAGAGAAGAAAGAGCAATAAAACCCAGCAAATATTGCTCAAAATTTCCTATTTCTGGCAACAGTTTAAACAAAGAATCCAGGATAATTTCACTGCTTGCTTACCTTCAATCAAAAAACAACACTGTGCTTTAATTTCTCCTGTGGGTGCAGTCAGCTCTTAAGTTAAAATCCAGGCTTAATATCTTCTACTCATAATTTAGGTCATGGGCTGGGAAGCAACATAGGAAATAGAGAGAAATTTCAAGCTTTGCAATAGATGCTAAAACTCCATCCTGTGCTCAAGGCTCCCAGGGCATCCACCGCACACACTCCTCTGCTCTGAAAGAGCCAAGCCTTGCAGCAGCCAAACAAAGAGAGGCTGAAATCCCTACAGGATCTAAAACCCCGAGTTATCAAGCCTTCGCTAGGGTCTGTCTTCAATCTCTGAGGCTGCTCGACCGGCTAAGGTCAGCAAAGAACCTGCTCTGAACTCCGAGCGCCTCGTACCCCGTGGGCAGCTTCACAGGCCGCGGCAGAACGTGGGCTGCGGCGCTCGGAGCTGCGCGTCAGGAGCGCTCGCTCGTCTGCAAGGGTCAAAAAGGAGCGAAGGGGGATGCTGAAGGGATCGTTGGGATCATGCAGTCGACGTGCATGGAAGAATGGAAGAAAAAAGGTGCTTAAATAGCAGATTCCAATAGCACCAGTCTGGGAGCATCGTGGTTGGTTTTTTCTCCCCAGTCAAGGCCAGTCCTTCACTTAAAAAATACCCCCAAACCAAAACACCCTTCCACTCTTGTCCCCCTTACACAGATTGTGGGGCTACGTTCAGTATTTCAGCTGTGGTACTGTATATCTGTAGAATTACAGACACTGTTATCAGTCATTGCTGCACGACTTGTACAGTTCATTATGCTCATACTCACATAAACTTAATTACATCGCACAAGGCTATAAACCCCACATACTTCAGGATGTAAGTATCTTTCTTCTTGTATTTACTAAATTGTGTTTATACACAGTCTTACTAATTTATATTGCATCTCTCTCATTAAATATAACGGCAAAATATAACTGACTCTTCCATTCCTAATGCTGATTTTTTTTTATTCCTAAAATACACACGTGCAAGTTGCTGTACATCAGGAAATGATCTGGAGCCTCAGACGAATGCAGCAGTGTTGTAAGGCAGGCCAGTGGTTTTTGCTAGGTCACCATCAGGCCAGTGCAGAGATTGTTCCACCCAGCCAACAGAACAGGCTGCGACAAACACAGTCAGGCCCTTCAAAACTGCACAAACAAAATTAAACTTCCAGGAAATTGCATGCAATTGATTCCTAACATGTATTTTAAGTGTAATCGCTTCTACTGCTTTTTTTAGTATTTCGGCTCTGGCTTGATTTGACTGAGGTTTTCACTAAGCAACGTTTCAGGAGAAAATCTTAGAAGTAATTAATCACATCGGCGGTAAGGATGCCGTGCTATTTTAGTTTACATCCGACAATACTGGGGAGAAGACAGGATTTTATGTGCCCCACCACCAACCAGCCTCTCTACGTGGCAAATAAATAAATAAATAAATAAATAACGTTTCTATTTTGCACATTTCCTTCTGGTTTTAGCATTAATTTTCAGTCAGCTTGGGAAGCGTAGCGCCAG